GGTGCATGTTGATATTTTAGGCTTTGACGCAATAGGTTTTGTCCCTCTCAAGCTATTCTGCCACAGTTGTGGTCAAACACATTATGGCCTAGGATTGCTCTGTTTGGCCTACGGTGGCCAGATTTGACACACAGGCTATATAGCCTGTTGATTGCAAGCCTCCAACAAATAATTTCTGTTGTGTCTGCTGTCAGTGATTCTAATGCTAAAATATCCAAACCCCTCCGACTAGTCAAGAGAAGGTACATAAATAATTACTAACTGATTTCTAAAACATCCTGTCTAGTTGTATATATTGGCCCTGATCCAGGTTGGGATATTCATTGTGTAACAGCTGGGACGGGGCTAGCTCTAGGGTAAAGATTGACTGTTTGGAGTAAAGAGTCTCCAGTGTCCCATTTCCATTGGGCCTCAGGTGCTTCATATATTGTTTCCACTGCGCTTACTCCCATGATACCTACTGGTCTCTGCTGCATGATCAGTAGTAATTTATCTGTGGGCCACTGTGTTCTGACAACTGTTCTTACTATAGCTAAGGAGAGTGTGTCCTTTGAAAATTGATAACTCTGCTAGCTAACATTAGAAAACTTTGCTTTGAAGCAATTTTAGCTTTACTGAAGGCCTTTTTAGCTTTCTTCATCAAGCTTCCCCAGGTGCCAGGTGTCTGTTCATTGGATGTCCAAGCTCTTGCTGAAAATAGGACATTCCTTGATCTGCCTTTCAGCTGTGTCAGCATTTCTGGGAGCAGTCATGGTAGTAATATGCCATACTGGGCTCTTTAGTGACACACTTTAAAAATTCTTTTATTCTTTTTTGGAAAAAGCAACAAATTCATATCAATAAATATTTTTAACTATGGCTTGTATATCTTAAAATTCTTTGTAAATCAGACTCAGCAATGAACATGAATGACAACTATGAACTTTGTGGAATTAATCGGACTCTAATATCAATGTCAATTGCATCATTTTTAGGGCCAGAAAAAAATACTATTACAGACTTATAGATTGTAATTTCATTCATATGAAATATACATTCATTCCAGGGAAAACACATGTTGAAAATAAAGGAGAAATATGTTTTGCTAATGGGCCAGTTTGGTTTCTTTTTGCAAGTGAACTCTCATCATCAACATGAATGGAGTTGGAAGGGATTATGCTCCGTAAAATAAATTAGAAGGAAAAAGAAAAATATCATATGATCTCACTTATAGGGAGAATATAGGGAAACTGAACAAAAGACTAGGAAAAAGACAAAGCTTGAAGGGAAATCATAGATCTGAGGCATTCAGCAGTACTGGGGGGGGTAGTCAAAGCAGAGGCTGGAGGAGCACAGGGACCATGATAATGTCCATGGGTGCCTCAGTGATAAGAGAGTACACATGAAGGGAAAATTAAGAAAATAAAAATCTAGTCATCACAAAGAATACCTAAGTATAAAAATTTGTTAGGCACGGTACTAGTTTAATTTATAATGGTATATATGAAGATATGCCAATTAGGATTAGATGTTTCCTTTTTCATTGTTTATATAATGACATCCAAAATAAGATATCTATATAAATATACTAGATAAAGATAAATATACATATATTTATTTATTAGAAGCAGTAGTAAGAGGCAAGGTTTTGTGATGTTCTAACATTGCTGAATATTTTTGGGTTTCATCATGAAGAATTGTTTGGAGAGTAGAGCAATAAAATTTTGAAAAAGTTGGATAATGAGAGAGGACTATATCAGGTATTAAAATGAATTATAAGGTATAGTATTCAGATATTGTGGAAATTATATAAAGCTATGAAAAAAAATTTCATGGCCATATCTACTGGTATGAAAAGTCAGGAAGCATAGTCTCTAGCTGAAAATCTATGGGTTTAATCACTATGAGGAGGAAAAGCTGTAATGTGATCAGAAAAATTATTACATGCTGGGGAGACTTAGTAGTCTGAACCACAGTAGTTTTCTAAGAGTAAAATTCAGATCAGTTTAGATCATCATCTGTATTTCAAAATTAGTCCTGAGTAGATAAAACATGGTAAGCATCCAAAAAATATTATTGTTATTTTTATTATGATTTGTCAAGAGTGCTTTTAAATGGATTGTATCATTCAATCTTTACAATGACCTTATCAAAGAAAACTTTAGGTAACAAGACTCTATTTGATAAATGGACAAAGAAAATAGATCAAAGACAGTTTGCAAAATGATTTTTCAGATCTTCAATAATCTTTCTGATAATAAAGAGAAATTGAAGTTTTAAAATGAAAGTAAGTTTCATTTATAAAGAAAACTTTTATAAAATACTCAAATTTGGATAGGGTGAGATGTAAAATATAAACTGCCAGAACCCATGTGTCAAGATCCTTAGAACATATTCATATATTCAGTGATCCAGAAATTTCAGTTTTAGCAAATTTTACTAAAGTAAACAGGGTAAGGACAAAGCATTACTGATAATTTACACACACATGTGCACACAGATACACACAACATCAGAAACCTTGTAAATGTCTGAAAGTAGAATGACTAGGGAAAATGTTATATATGCAAAATGTAATGTTACACATTTAAAATGGGTTATATAGTGGCATTAACAATGTAGGAGGATTGCGGTCATTACAATGTTAAGTTAAAAAATGAGACATAGGCCCTCCCTGGTGGCGCAGCAGGTTAAAGCACAGCACTAAGAATCTAAAGCCGCTTCTGCATGAGTTCAATTCCCGCCTGCCCCGGAGGTGACCACATGGCGCGGCAGACCTCTCCTGACCCGCCCGCTGCTCCCCTCAGCAGTGTACTTCGTGGATCTGCCTGTTCTGTTCCCCACTCTGTCTCTGGTGAAGCCTCTTACCACCCCTGAGCCTCTGGCCTGTACCCCAGTTATGTGTGCACAAATAAATAAATCTTTAAAAAAAAAAAATGAGACATAATCTTTTGCAGCAACTTGGATGGAGCTGGAAAAGATCATGCTTAGTGAGATAAGCCAGAAAGAGAAAGAAAAATACTGGATGGTTTTGCTCATAGCAGGAGTATAATGGACCAGGTGAGAAAATAATAAGAATAATAAACAGCCATATACCTTAGACATTGTGTCATTGTGTGGGGATGGAGTGGGGAATGGGACCAAAAACGCGGGGGGGGGGGGGTTGGAGTGCACGGGATTATGGTGATAGCACACGGGTGACTTGGTGATGGGAAACCCGCAGGGATTACAACAATTGAGATGAAAAAAAAAAAAGTACAAATTGATTGTAAAAAATAAACTATTATAATTAAACAAAGGACATAAAATTATCAAAATAAATTTTAAATTGTTTTTTAAAAACATAGGCTCAAGATTGGAAGTCGATATTTTAAATGTTTCAGGGTGACCTTTCTTACTCTCCTTAACTTCATCTTTGCTTCTTTATTAGCACCTCAGTATTAATCAATAGAACTGTTTCTTCCTCTTCCCATTGAATTATCCATAAGAGAAGGTACCATGTGTTTCTTATTACTGCTGTACACTCTGTAGCATAGTCTTGTAATATATATTGATTGGTTAATGTTGGGTTAGGTGGCCTTCTAGATGACCCTCCATTAGGTTTTTTATTTTTCACCATTGAATGACAATACTTACATTATCAGAAATCGAAGTCAGTTTTTAAAGTAACAATATAAGGTTTTTGTCTCTTTTATTCTTTTGTGATAGCTATCTTTAGTAATTAGAGTTTTCTAACAAGTAGATGGGAAGCAGAAGTGATAAAAAATAATGACGTTAGAAATAGAAGAAAATAATTGAACAGAGAAAGTTATATCCATTCTCACACCCCATACCCTATGTCTGGTCTTGGATTATGTTTTGTTTTGTGGAAGTAGGATCTTGGCAACATTTGTGTATATGTATAGGAATAAAATGTACTTTTCCATGCCCTGTGGTTTGCCTGACATGATTTGCTGTAGTGCTTTGCTGTGAGCAGTATTGATTGACTATAGTCACACAGGAATATCAGATGTAAAGGGAGGTACAGAAATGGGACTTGGCTTTGGTTTTCCCTTCTCCTGCCACCTCTTTCCCTTAAAATATCTAATTTTACCACATCTTTGTTATTACAGTAATTCAAGACTTTCAAATTTGGGTCAAGTTGAAACTTAATATGTAATAATAGTCAGCATTCTCTTAAGTGCCTCAGTAAAAAAAGAAAAATAGATTTGACAAAAAGTGGTTGAAAAATAAAAATAGGACAGTTTCTTTCTGGCTTATAGGAAGTGAATATTTTTGTTGTCAGTTCAAATATTTAAAAATTTTAAGACCTATCAGAGTTTCTATTTTAGTGTGAGGCTTATTTGCCCAGCTGTGAGTTACACACTTAAAATTAAGAATGTCTAGAATTATCTTGTTTTATCTTTATCACCAGGTTATTTGAATAAGATAATTCTAACGCAATTAGATGCCCTAACAGCTACATAAAACAAAGCATTTTCATTTAGAATAATTCTGATAGAGTAAAAAGTAAAGGGAAGAAAATATTGATCTAATTAGGTCACTTCTAGGGGACAAGATAAGTGAAAACTGCATCAGAAAAGCGGGGAAATGCCCACAGATTTAAGCCTTCCTGAGTATGTGAATTTTTCTTTAAGATGAGAAGCAGAAAGGAAGAAGTTTGTGATTTACTTTCTGCACTGCTGATGCTGTTAATGAATCCCACCAGGTGATGGCTAGTTTCCGGAGCTGAAGGAAGCTATCTGTGGCATCTAGCAAGTCAGTTTAAGTAAAAGATGCCAGTGACTTAAGTCCCAGGTCACATGACTCCCCCACTTGCCAATACTAGACGCTCTGGATCAAATTTCAACTCCAGGCCGCCCTCCCAGCCATGTGGGTTTAGCCTCGCAAGAAGCTCAGCCTTATTTCCGAACGTGTCAGGAGCTCCTCTAAGCTCACTTCAAGGCCTGTAGATTGGGAGCTGCTTTTCAAATCAGAGCATATCCACGGAGTGCAACTTTAGTATTTTGCTGTCATTTTGATGTTTTCATCTGGTTTTCATCAGGTCTGCCAGCCACTTCTGCGAGAATGGGGGCGGGAGCTCTCGCCATCTGTGTGAGTACAGGCCTCTGTTAGCGCTGGGGCCCTGGGAGAGGCCTTTGCACTCCCAGTTTTGATGAGATGTTTGTATGACATTGTTTTCCTTCCTGGGAGGTGGGGAAGGATTTGTGACCTAAATTCCTTTTGATTCAAATGTTTATGAAGCAGTATTTTGGGTGGCAGTCAGTATTTTTGTCCATTTTTTTACAAAAAAGGTGAGAGATGAACATTGAGTTATTCTGTTAAGCAAGTTGTTTAAGGAAAAGCAGTCTCAAGTGTTTTCCTTTCTTGTTCCAAAAGAGATAAATGTGAACGCTTATAGTTATTTGGAAAAATTCCTGTGACTACATTGAGAAAGAATTAAAATAACCATTAATATATTACCTCGATTATTTCTGTCATTTATCTATTTCTTATTTTTGTTTTCACTTACTAATTCTGGAACTTTGTTTCAGCTTGGCTGCTGAAAGTAGTCAAAAACTTACTTGATTAGTGTAGACATTTTTGGTTGTTATAATATGGGAGCATCAGTAAAGAACACTGCCATTGTACCCATGAGGAAATTTGTTCCTAGGGCAGAAATTCGTGAATTTCAAAAGCAAGTCTGTGGGCACTCTACATAACCTTTTGCAGTAACCAAGCACTGTCAATTTAATAATTTACAGATTGCTATATTTTAAGCATTTTTTTCAATGTATAGAAATTTATAAATATATTTTACATATTTCATGTTGGCATTTAAATAAATACTTGTTTAGTTTTTCCTGACCGTATTAAATGAGAACTATCTCATTATTTATTGTCACTTTATTTGCAAACTTGTGTCTCATCATATTCTACACACTTTTGTCTTATCACTTCATCCCACACTTGCTACATTTAGTTTTTTAAAATGCCTTTTTTTCCCTGCCCATCAGAAAGAGCTTCAATTTGTTGTACATTGTGATGACATCCTAAAATATCTGGGCAATTTTTGACACTTAGGCCCCAGATGGTCAGCAGATGGTGTACCAACCCCACAGATTGAATTTTCTTCATGAAACTGCAGGGTGACTCCCTCGCTTCTATGCTTGGAACTTTTCAGGATCCTATGTGCCAGTCTGCCTGTTTTTTTTGTTTTTTCCTTTAGCACTGAGGTTTGTAGCATCCAGCTGGTTATCTTTTTATCACTCCAAATAGTGTCCTTCAGAATCTGATTTTTCATATGAAATATGGAAATATTTTAAACAGAAATGTGTCTTTTGTTTCTCCAATTTTATAAAATATATTCTAGAACTGGAAATGTTTAGAATGAGTCAGTAGATGGACCTACTTGTCATGAAATTTACTGTCATCTGTAATTTTCTAATTAGGTCTTTATTCCTTGTCATTGGCCTATATTAATTGATCTCTTTCTTGACTGAAACTCAGACTCACCAGTGTATGAAACTTTGTATTTTTCCATAATTTTATATCCAAAGCATGTACAAATTTCACTTAAGATTGGTATACAAATCACCATTTAATAGATTATTCATTCAGGGATATATGAGTATATGATCTGGTATATAATCTCTTGTGTTTGGGTCCTAATTCTTAGTTATTCTGGCCCTTCAACTTCGGGTGGTATGTGATTGTGCTGTGTCCCAGTTTTACTGTAAGAGGAAATTATCTCATTTTTAGGAATTGTAGCATGTATTCCTGCAAAAAAAAAAAAAAAGCTGTTGGAGAGAAAGTTTTTTTTTCCTGTGTTGTGGCATAATAATGAGAATTAAACCACTTGTAAATACATGCATGTGGCCTGATATACTTTTTATTGGGGACTTTGCTACTTAAACATAACTTGTATGCAGCAACTGCCCCAGGATCTTGCCACTGAATTCTTCAGATAAAATAAGAACAGGAGGTATTTGTATAGTTGTGTATCTTTACAAATTCTTGAAGAGACAGACTGGGTTAAAAAATAACCAGTTTCTACACCCATTGACTAACTAGCATTCTCTTCCTCATTCCTTTTCTCTTTCCCATATTGATAGTGCTTTTAGTAAAACCATAGGGTGCTCACAATTTCCTTGCCTTGCTACTCATATGTGAGTATGGTGAAGAGGGTAGAGCTTCTTTATTATAACATCTAATTTTTCCTCAATAGATCACTAGCAAGCAGTACCAGAAGTTATGCTTGTTAATGTCACTTACTGTGCTAGTTTTCTATGTTATTTTGGATAACTCACATTCTCAGGTGAGTCTTGGTCCTTCCAGAGTCCCTGCCCTCCTGCAGTTCTGTCCAGGTGGCATAGGCTCTTCTGTGCTGAGGAGATTGCATATTCCAGTGGATACAGACAGAGAACCTAGACTTTTTTCTGTGTATTAGTACTGTGTTCTAATATTCTGGATGTTTTGAAATGTGGGGAAGTTCAGTCATCAGATCTGTTACAGGTAACTGTGTATCAGTGCATTTGGTATTATCAGAGCCTATTTTTTCTAGCCTTCCTGATTTAGCCTCAATTGTTGCTGTTCTTCCAAGTGTATTACAATCTTTGTAGCCACTGTCCCTAACTTGAACACACCTCCATTCTGACAGCCTTCTTACCAGTGGGGACTCTAAACTGCTTTATACGTTGCCCAGAATGTAGACAGGCCTCATGGTCATAACACAGAAAACTTGCAGACACAATTAAGATGTTCTAGATGCAGTGGACTATTAACCAGGTTAAATCACAGCACAAAGCAAGGGGAAAAGATGGGGTAGGTTTACCTCTAGAAGGGCCCTATCTGTGAATCGTGAATCCTGTATTACATGGTATTCATATCCATCCTGTCCTTTGTCTTCACTGGTACATCAGCCTTCCCTGATGATGGTGTAGTTTTGAGCAGTAGGTTTGACTGTGAGCAGGAGGTAATGTGTCTGGAGCCAACACAACTTGTTTCATCATTCAAGACAAGTGTTCCTAGCTTTAGCTGTAACTTGCTCACATACTACTGAAGACTTAATGAATTTTTTGTGCATATCTCAGAGAACACATAACACCTGAAAGGGTCTAATCAATAGGTGACTATTTTAAGACATTGAATATTTGGTGTCTCATAAATGTTGGTTGATCTGTTGGTACCTGAAGTCAATTAATGAATTAAAGGAATTAGTAGTTCTCCCATTTTTCAATTATCTAGTCAAATATATTTACCAAGCTACCTCTTTACATAGTATCAATACTTAGTTGTATTTCTTCTCCATTGTTTTTGTTTTCCTCTTATCCTCAATTTAACTGAACTGAATTTTATTAATTCAACAAGGAAATACTATACAAGTTTAAGTTTCAAAGCAATCTCACCTCTAAGCTTTTCTCTTACTTATATAAATGCAAAAATGTTTGCAGAAGTGTCACAGGAGCTATTAAAAATCTAAATGTTGGGCCCTCCCTGGTGGCGCAGCGGGTTAAAGCACAGCACTGAGAATCTAAAGCCGCTTCCTCATGAGTTAGATTCCCGCCTGCCCCGGAGGTGACCACATGGCATGGCAGACCTCTCCTGACCCGCCCGCTGCTCCCCTCAGCAGTGTACTTCGTCGATCTGCCTGTTCTGTTCCCCACTTTGTGTCTGGTGAAACCTCTCACCGCCCCTGAACCTCTGGCCTGTACCCCGTTCTGTATGCACAAATAAATAAATCTTTAAAAAAAAAATCTAAATGTTGTTAAATGAGAGTGGTTAAGTCAATTACATTATCTCTACATAAATGTTATGTTAAACAGTAATATTAAATAGCTTTTATGTACCAATATGGGAAAATTGACAAAATTGACAAAATAGTAGCAAAAGCAAGAAGCACAAATATCCAATACTATATTTACATATCTTTTTTTAAAGAATATACATATACTTAATTATGGATAGAAAATTTCTGTAAGGAAACATGAGAACTTTTGGAACTGGGAAAGGGAGACTTTTCACTTTAAATGCTGGTGTGGTATTTGAGGTTTGACCCAGTGTGTATGTTACTTTTCTTAAATTAATAAAGATTGCTCTGGGAAAAGGGAATGATATATTTAGCTGGAAAAAATAAATATTGTTTTACAATTAAATTTCAGTATGTCCAGTACTTGTCTTTTACATATTTATATTTTGAAATATATTATTTAAAACTGTCTTAAAATACAAAAGGAAATATCCTTTCCCTACCGCAGACCTAGAATTGGAGAAAATTCTATATTACTGCATATAATGAGGGGTTGTCATCTCTTTAGTAAGTAGAAAGATTCTAAGTTGCTTTAGCTGGTCAGTGGCCCATCAGCAAAAGAAAAAGGAGGCTGAATGAATTTTCATGGGTTGACTTGGGGGCATTCTGTCATGGAACTAGAGTTATAGGTGTTTTTGCAATTTTCTGGGATTATCCCAGTCATTGTGTAATTCTCAGAATTTGCAACTCAGCCAATTATACTTTTTCACTTGTTAGACTGTTATAAATTCAACATACACTTGCCTTTCCCCCACCTTGTACTTTATTTGGTCAGTGCTTTCTTTACATGAATGATTAGCCAAACAGAAGGCAGGCTTCTGTAATCTTTTTTTTTTTTTCATACAGAACTGGGGTACAGGCCAGAGCTGCAGGGGCAGTGAGAGGATTCACCAGAGACAGAGTGGGGGGGCAGAACAGGCAGATCAACGAAGTACACTGCTGAGGGGAGCAGCGGGCAGGCCAGGAGAGGTCTGCCACGCCATGTGGTCACCTCCAAGGCAGGCAGGGATCGAACTCATGCGGAAGTGGCTTTCAATTCTTAGTGCTGTGCTTTAACCCGCTGCGCCACCAGAGAGGGCCCAGGCTTCTGTAATCTTAATAATGAAGCTGAGATCCTTGGGGCAGCTAACATTTTTCTTCATAAAGGGGGTTTTATTAACTGCCAAGATTTTTTAAATGAAAGAAATAATGAATATTACTATGGAATTTTTGCTCTATTTATGAAAAATCTTGATTTAAAATGACATAGTAGAACTAAGTCAAATGGTTCCTTGAAGGAAAAATGTAAAGAGTAGGAATGGAAAAG